TATGAGAAATACTAGGTCTAAGATTCAACATATTTTATCATCTGAAAGTACCAGAAAAGTTACATAAAATTCAAGATATAAAATCAGCTGCTGCTGTACTTTAGGGATCATAAAGTTTCTCCTGTATTTAGGCACACTCTCCCCTCCATGTCGTGGAGGTACTTAAGATTCATAGATCTAGATTGTCACATGTTCTTATCTTAGCATTAAATGGATGTGCGTTGTTAAACAAACCTCCTCTTCAGACCCATAACAAAGTAAAACCTGAAGACTGACAAGTGAAAAAATCTTTTGTTTTCATTAATTTTCTCTTCCCCTCTCCATTTTTATTTCTCCACTGATGTCAAAGAGTTAATTTGTAACTAACACGGGTATGAGATCTATGTTAATGTGACATCTAGTGCAGTATCGCTTGAAATACTTTTGTTAAATACCCTATTCATTATTTATTTTCTAAATTCAGTTTAAACCATTTGATTAAATTAATTAATTTCCCTGATGCCTCTGATGATGACATCTTGAGGTTGAAACGTGTATGGCAATAGTGTCTTTTTTATAGTGTTAATAGTTGTCTGTTTGCTTATTTTATATTATTTTTATTTATTTATCACTGTGTGAATTATCTGTTTTTTGTTTTATTTTTTCAATATGTATAAGAGGCTAAGAGCTACCAATACTAGTGGCTCACCTCTCCATTGTGCAGTTCAGTTGTAAACAGTTACCTGTTATGACTTATTGTATTTTCTGTTTCTTGTATATTATGCGATACTAAATGTAGCAGTCAAACGCTTATCATTCCTTAGCCAAAAAGACCAGCTGTTGTCCATCAATCCTGTCTGCGAAGTGTTGGATAGTACCTTCAACTGTACCATAACTGCTTCCTTCCATTTTCTTTCCAATTCATATCGTGCTATGTGGTCTGAGCTCCTTACAGCATATTAAACATAAGTAAATATATACAATAGACCTGTATGAAGTAATTACAGTGGAAGAAATGTCTGGCTTGTAGAATCTGTGTCTGATTGGGAAATTGAGCAAACATTTGTTGACCTTTGTAGATGTGGAAATATAGCTCATGCTCAGGCTATATTATTTCCAGAGATAGAACCCTGTTTATGATTTGAAAAATTAAAAGAAGTCCAGTTTTTTCAACCAAGCTAGGTAAGCCCCAGAGCCACTTCGAGCATGATGGTGAAGAGAAAACTTTTTGAACGTGACTGAAATTGAACTCCTTTCATCCAGCTCAAATATAGTTACTTTACTGAGCGGTAATTCTGGAATATCTCATTTCATATTATGATCTATCAAAGATGCATGTGGCAGGGGTCATCATTGGATAGGAAATTAACTTCCCAAGAAATTCTTTGATGTTATTTAACCAGAAGGTTCAACACTTTGGCTACAGAAGGTAGCAACTATTTTGAAGCACCTCACATCTTCGCAAATTGAATTTTTCTAAATTTTATTGTATATTTTGTGGACAAAATTTTATTTCTGAACTCAAATTTAGAAAATTTTTATAAACTGTTACATGAAACTATTTCAGTATTATGAAAATTCATCTTCTATACACTGCAGCTAATTGTGTTCTATAAACAAATGTTTATATCAGCTGAAGTTATTTTTGCACTTTTCATCAATATAAATTGGAAACTAGTATCAGAATGTACAGACTGTTAGAGGAATGTGTTTTATAAATTAAACTCGGTGTTGTAAGGTATAACTTCTATGGCTTGTATTCATGATATGAGACACATTATGATGGTATCTGTTCTAGCTGGGATCTAATAGCAGACTGCAATACCGACTGTGACTGTGGGCCCACCCTTAAGTATTCTCCAGTTTGTGCAATAGATGGTAGTAATACCTTCTACTCTGCCTGCCATGCTGGATGCACGACTTTGGAGATAGTAAATGGTACCAAGGTCAGTAAAATTATCCCTTTAGAATGATCCAGGCCGGTGGTTCTGGTACAACAGCATATCACAATATGAAGCTGTTGAATGTGTTTAGATTATTTGGTTTTGGGGTGTACACTGTAAGGTGTTGCGAAAATTTAATTTCTTTATGTCAAATAATAACTCCCGTATTTTACATGAAGCTGAAATTGGAATTGATAGATTTTCTTATAAGAGACTTTTCATATGAAGTATTTGTTTTGACACTGAGTAGTCACTTTGCCTTGAAGATAGAATGGAAGATGGAAATTTCAACAGTATCAGGGCCTTCATCGGCACAGCATCCTTAACCAGAAATCTAAGCCACATTAGCATTTAGATGAAACATAAATTAACTTTCATTTGGAGGAATTTTCAACTATATGCAATATGAATATCATCATACTAAATATTTGTGTTTTCAACATCACGAGAACAGGCTACTGGCATTCATTTGCGTATTTTGTTGTTGGTGATGAAATAAGTTGCAATATGAAAGCAAGATTATACAGATTTCATAAATAATTTACTGGAATACAATAGATAATAATTTACACTGACAAATAAATTTTATAATAAGGTAATGGAAGTTAATGTTGTTATAAAATATATGTAATGTTTAATAAAGATTTAAATATTAGGTAAAATGGAGGGAATTACACCACCTCATGGCAGACAGAACATTTTAAATTAATGTTTGCTCCACATATGAATCATCGACAAAAATATGCAAAAGCGTGTGTGGCAGTATTACCCAAATATGGGGTAATTCTGTCATGTGACTGGGATAATACCACCCTATCCATGCCAATAGAGGCAACAACTATGTTTATTATTAACTTGTATGTTTAATATTTTACAGTAGATCTTCCATTTAGTTAATATAGTATGTACATGAAAAAAATAGGACATAGCGTATCACTATGGAAACTCTGTCATGTTATCCAGGTGGTAGGTACAAATCTGTACTGAAAGTGCTTACGAGATCACGTATCTCACTGACAAAAACAAATGAATTCAAACGTCTAACTCTTGACATACTGTAACACATCATTTATTTCCACCAAGTCCCAAAACATTGCAAAACTACAGATCCAGAAAAGTGCATAAATATTTGTACTTTAAAATCTTACCTATTTTGAAGAAGAATGCTTAGTTTACCACAGTGGTCCCCAATGCGGTGCCCGCGGGCACCATGGCGTCTGCCAAGGATTTTTTTGGGTGCCCGCATTGTTACAGAAAGAGGTTATACTGAATAATGAAGGCCGTTCAACCACGAACATTATAAAATCAAAGCACAGATCTCTACTTACTAATGCCCATCTTGACGATTGTTTGCGAGCAGCAACATCGTCCTACACTACCAAATTTGAAAAACTGGCCGATGAAATGCAGTGCCAAACATCACACTAACTTCCCACTTGAGTAATAATAATTGTACTTATAAAAGTACGTATTTTTGATTGCATGGTTTCTTGTATCATTAAACGTTGTGTTGTTTTGTATATTATTTGGTGTCCATTATCTTATTTGTCCAGAGAAAAGAAAATTTGGCTTTGTTAATTGGTTGGTGCCCGCCACGATCAAATAAACTCTCAAATGTGCCCATAGGCACAAAATTGTTGGGGACCACTGGTCTACCATGCAGTCTTGATATTTTAGAATGTAAGTGTTTACAATGAGAGTTTTCTTCACCATAAGTACATAAAAACCTGAGAACAGGTCTGGAATGCTTGTGTACCGTCAATCAGCCAAGGTGTCAATATGAATAGAGTGTGTCCAGTTCAAATTATTTGACACAAAAGACAGGTGGTAACATCACCAAAGGTGATACAAGTCACCCACTT